TAAAAAAAAAAAAAAAAAAAAAAAAAAGAAAAACTCAGAAAAAAATTTCTTCCTAGAAAAATATTGCATGTATATGAAAAAAATTAACTATAATATGCAACTTCTGGGCCTATTTTAATTTGTCTAGGAGTGAACACAGAAAATGTAAAAGCAAAAAGAGAGCTATACCAATAAGAAAGAAAGAAAAGATAGGAAACTGGGTGGATAATACAAAGACAAACATTATTCTAAAATACATGGAACATCAAATCAGTTGTTTAATGTGCTATACCCAAAATAAAGTTAAAAGAAATTATTCCAAGAAAAGTGTTTTATAGCAAGATGTTAAAAAAAAAAAGGTTTGACAATTCCTGATCAAAACCCCGTGCACAACAGTAAGAGATAAGATAGACAAGTGGGACCTCATCAAACTGACAATCTTCTCCAAAGCAAAAGAAACCATCAAGAGAGCAAGAATACAGCATACAGAATGGGATAAAATATTTTAAACTGTATATCTTACAAAGGCTTAACATCTAGGTACTCAAACACACCGAAAGGGAAAAAAACAAACAGTCCCATTAAAAAGTGAGCAAAAGACATGCATAAACACTTCTCAAAAGAAGATATACAGGCAGCTGATAAAAAGTGATCAGCCTCACAAGTCATCAGAGAAATACAAATCAAAACCACACTGAGATACCACCTAACCCCAGTAAAAATCATCACTAATAAAACAAACAACAGATGCTGGTGAGGATGCGGAGAAAAAGGAATGCTTCTACACTGCTGGTGGGAATGCAAACTAGTGCATCTTCTTTGGAAGACAGTGTGGAGATTTCTGAAAGAGCTAGAAATCCACTTTCCATATAACCCAACAATTCCCCTATTGGGAATACTCGGAGAAACTTGCCATTTTACCAAAAAATTGCCTGCATAGGCATGTGTGTTGCAGTTCGCTTCACAATAGCAAAAACATAGAACTAACTATGCCGCCCATTGAAGCTGGACTAGATTTTAAAAAATGTGGTACATATACACAATGAAATATTATGCAGTCATAAAGAAGGACAAACATTATGGACTTTGCAGCAACTTGGATGGATTTAGAATCGATCATACTCAGTGATGTCATAGAAACAGAGTACCAATATGTTCTCACTCATAAGCGGATCTTGAACAATAATCATAATACTATAAGGGTTTGACAGCAGTGGGTAACTTCCAGGGAAAGGAGGGACACACCTCATCAACAAAGGCACCTGTATAATGAAAATTTGTATATCTAACCCTGAATTGTACCCCACATCTTTAAAATAAAGAAAAAAAAAATAGGGTTGAAATTACAAAAGGGAAAGAGAGACTGTCCATAAAATTCATGTCTTTTATGTTCTCTTCACTTTTGAATTTTTTTAGGTACTAAAGGCGTAGTTTGGTTGTTTGTGCACATAATTATTACGGTAAATTTTTAAAAGAAAAATAAGATGAAAATTATGTATACAATTCCGATATATTTGTATATAACTTGAAGTGAATAAATTGATGTGGAAAAGATCATGCTTACATTTTTTTCAAATATTAGAAATTATGATCAATGCTAACCAGATGTAATCTTATCTACTATTATTTGTCAATATCAGAGAAAAAATACTATTAAATGGAATATTTTCTACATTATATTTTTACCACCTAGTTGATCATTATTGAGTATTTGTGGTTAAATGGCTTTAAGATCGTTGAATGATTTTTTTTAAAGGAAATGTCCATGAGGCCAGTAATATTTTTATGTAAATAAATCATAAATGGTAAAAATAATGATTGGCAAAACCAGTAGGACTTAGCCTTGGAAAAAACTCTCCAAGATACACATCAACTGGAGAGAAGAAGATGAAATAAGATTCCCTGTAACTTCACAAATTTATGAAAAATCTCCCTCATTTAGTAAGATAATTGTAGATGGAAAAATCTGTCCTAGTAAAAACAGCAATACAGTACTTTTTTTTTAATGTGAATTAGTCAGAAACTACACTTTTCATGTCACCCAATAAATTGTAGAGTCTATCCTTTAATTAGATATACATGATGGCTGATCAGGGAGAAGAAAACAGGGGTTGGGGGAGAGAGAGAGAAAAAGCTAGGAAGAGAAGGGAGGGGATAGAGATACATATTAGGAATGATGGCACTTTCTACAAGACATGTCATTCTCAGGATAAATGAAGCTCTGAACAGAATATAGAATACATCAGAGTCACTCTGTTCAATAAAGGACAAAGATCATTAGCAAGTGTTGCAAAGATATAATCCCCTGGGAATCCACAAAGTGAAATTTCAACAATTTCATACAGAATAATTAAGAATACTCTGCAAAAGGTGATATTAAAAAGCACTGCTGTAAGGAGGTATCTATTCTAATCACAGATTGATATAGTATGTGGACAATGGCTTGTAGAAGACCAAAAGAAAAAAAAGAAAAAACATTTTTCAAAAAGACAAAAAAAAGAGCAGAGCATCAAATCATATTATATTAAAATGCCAACACTAGGTTTTCTGTCAGATGTACTACAATCTATGCACATGTTAGATAAATTACATGGAACAGTACCTTTCTTTTGGCCTTTAACTGCTCATGATACTTGTCACAAGTGTCTCCTGGGATTTCTCCTCCCCAGAGAGTGATTCCAACAATGGTGTATGTGATACCCATAATGAGCAATGGGAAACAGTAGACCAGTATAAAGACAATAATATGGTAACTGCAAGAAATAAGGAAAATACATGCTGAAGAACCTATTAGAATAAAGTACGTGGAACTTTGAATTTTCTCAGCTTTAAATCATACTGAACTCTCAATGCACTAATTTCACACATACATCAACGTATTTGATTGTCACTTATTGTCACCTCCAGTCATGTTTCAAATGCTGCCTGTTGATCTTTGTTGACCATATGATCTTTGTTGTTACATGAAACTTGTAGCAGAACTGAATGGCTCATTTAAACTACATATATTTCCCTTGCCTGGGGGTTAATTATGAATACCTTTCCTCTGCTTGATACTCTGTTTGGTAATTGTCAAGCCAAACTAATTAAATGTGTCATCAGAGGAAAAAAGAAGGGATAGAATAAACTAAACAACTGACATTTATTTTCTCTTATGTAGAATTATTCTATACATCCTTGTAATACTAGACATGATTTGAAATAAATTGTTGGGAAAAATTGGATCCACGTTACTTGACTGTGATTTTAACAAATCAGATAAAAACATTTACATGCATTTTCTTCCAAAGTCATGGTACATTTGATTTCATTGCTAATTTGGTACAAAAAAAAAAACCCCAAACCCCCCCCCAAAAAACCGTGTAGACATAGTAGTCACATCATAGGTATGCTACTATAACTTGCCAAATTAAATTCTGGTGTTTCATAACTTTCAATAAAAATTATGAGAATGCAATTTGAGGGGAAAAAGAAGATAAGCTTTAATATAATAGCCCAAATAGAATTTTATAAACTTTTGTGTGGATTCTACTGACTTAGTAAGACTTTAAAGTAGTCAAATAATTTGTTATAATATCTTTCTTAAAAACCTATGTTGCTTTGTAAAGTGAATCTTAAACCTTGCCTTCCTAATCCTGGTAGCTTACTAAGTATTGATTTAAAGTCATTGGGGGAAATAATTTAGTCAACAATTAATTTAAGAATGACAACATGGTCTTACCACTAAGATGTATCAATAATAAGGATAGAGCACATGAGGTACTCAGTTTAGTAATGACTGTCTGACTTTTCTTAAATAAGTGCTTCCTAATATTTTTCTCAAAAATTTGGACTTTGAGTAAAGTTAGGCAAAAATGACTGTTTTGATGATGATTATTTTCTTTTGTTATATTTAAAGAGAAAAATTGGTCACTGAAATGTAAAATATGCATTCTATTAAAATAAAATTTAAATGATCAACTTAAAAAAAGAAAATGCAATTAATTACAGAATTACACTTTTATACCCCTTTGCTCTTTTAAGGTAGATCTAAAATATGAAATACCAAATTCTATCATATAGCATCCCTATTTATTTTTCAATTTGGTGTTTAAATTTTTAAATACTGAAAGAAAGGAACACAAATCAATAATATCCAAACAAAATTAATGAAACTACCAGGACTCCCCTTCCTTTCAGTCAGGCTTCTTAAAAATAGAGCAATCAACACTTTGCATTTTGGTTTCTTCCTTCTCACTCATTTCTCAATCAATAACAACCCTCCTACTTTTCTTTGCACGTTGCTTTCATCTTTTATCACCTTCTCCAGGAAACGCTACAGTGCCACTCCATATAGAAGTCCTCACTTCCAATTAAAAACCTTAGTAACTTATACAAACTTATTGACTATATCATATTATATTGTAATGTTTTTATATGTTTCTTTTCCCAAGTAATGTGTACTCCCAGAGGGAAATTTCTGTGTCTTATTTGCTTGATTTTTATCTATAGTTGCTTAAGTGTTTGATGAATTGAAAATCATAATAGAGAATTAACTTACGTGAAAACTTGTTTAGGACCTTCTGGCCATTGCACATGGCAAAGAGTACGACCCGGCATAACTATGATTTTGGAGTAAAGACACTGAGGGAAGGCAAGTAGAAAAGCTAGAATCCAAATACTTCCAATGGCAATCTTGGTTGCTGTAGCAGACAATCTTGGTTTCAAGGGATCGATAATAGCCATATACCTATATAAAAGGAAACAGAACATTTTGTTGATTCTCTTGTTAGAGTTTAAAACGAGGTTTTAGAGGCAGTTATCATTACTTTGGTAAGCAAATTGGTAAAGACTCTGCTTTTGTAGTGGTATCCTAGAATGATAATCATGGTGTAAGTTTAGGAAATTGGCAGATCTAGGTTAAAATACTATTCTGATACTTGTTGATACTTTTTGTACCTTAGCTTTACTATTTTAAAAATAATAAGCCCTATCTATTGGGAGTAAAGTGAGAATTAAAAGAAGTAATGTAAGCGAAAGGTATTATTTGGTGCTGTGCCTAACACATCAGTATTCATAAATGTCTACTGAATCAAACAGAAAAAGCACATTAAGTGCTTAAAAATACTGATTTCACAACTCAAAATCATCACTTCTCTTCTGTATGTTTAACTTTTAAATAGAAAATTCTGGAGAAATCATGAAGAGTATACTACAAAATTAATAAAGATGAGAGCTCACTATGAAATATATGGTCAACATATTCATTTAAAAGTAGCAAAAGACAAGTTCAGGGTTTAGATAAGGATGAGTAAATAAAGTGTGACTAAGACTATGCCTTACTGTTACTCCCATATTTGTATCATGAAAATCTCCGTGGTATCTATCTATGTAACTATGTATAATATAGTTGTAATTGGAGAATATACTTCACTTTCAAAAAAACATACATATTACTTTTTGAGTGCAACTTTTGGGAATTTGGGAACTCTGTAAATATTGTTAAAAAAATCAGACTTTATCAACTTGGGAAAGATGGTAACAATATATATGAAATAAAGAATTTCCAGTTTTAAATTGGATATAATATGGTTAATTGTCAAATTTGTCTAATATTCAGAACCAAAAATAATGTGTTCCAAATGAATTATATTTTTGTATTTCTGTCCATAAAACACAATGTTTTATTGTTCAAATTTACTTTTGCAATTTTATATTTATAGAATATATTTATTCAAATTTATACTTTCATCGAAGAATAAATATTACTTAAGTCAAATAATTTTAACATTGAGAATAAATATTTCAAAACAAGGATATTTTATCCATTTTGCTTTTCACTTTGCTTTTGTAACTATTGGGAATAGTGAAATCTTCAATATATATATACACTAACAATTATTCTTAATATTAACTTTAGCCACAATTTACTTAAAAGAAACATTCCTAATTCATTATGTATGACTGCTAATAGGTAAACATAAAACCTAGATAGAATAAATAATCAAATTTTCCTTTTGTGACTGGCTTATTTCACTTAGCTGCATGATTCCATGTACTTGTATATAAGGTATATAAAATAATCAAATTCATAGAAGCAGAGAATAGAATGGTGGTTGTCAGAACCCAATGGGCAATATGAATACACTCTAGAATTCTGCAGTATAATATAGTTAACAATATGATGTCATGAACTTTAAAATACGTTAAAAGGATAGATTTTATGCTGTGTTCTTATCACACACATTCATGCTAAGCAAACATATAAGAACATAAGGAAATTTTTGAAGGTGATAAATCTGTTTAGTACCTGATTATGGTGATGGTATCACATGTGCATACATATGTGAAAACATCACAATGTTCACATTAAAATGTGCAAGTTTTTTGTGTTAAATATCATTTTGTTGAGTTGAACACATCCAAAATCCCTCCTCGTTAATTTGAAATATACAATAAATTCCTATTGGCCATTACCCCACTCTGCTTATGAGCACTTGATCTTATTCCTATGTAACTGTATTTTTTTCATCAATTTATCAACCTCTTTTTTATTCCCCCTGCTCATTAGCTTTCCTAGCCTCTGGTAGACATTATTCTACTCTTTACTTTTATTAGATGAATACTTTTAGCATCCACATGTGAGTGAAAACATGCGATATTTGTTTTTCATTGCTTGTCTTATTTCACCTAACAATGTCTTTCAGTTCCATGTTGTTGCAAATGACAGTGTTTCATTCCTTCTATGGTTGAATAGTATTCCATTTTGTGTGTGTGTGTACACACACATATCACATTTTTATCAGTTAATCAGTTGATGGAAACAGTTTGATTCCATATCTTGGCTATTAATTAATGCAGTTGCAATATATGTGGGGATGCAGATATCTCTTTGAGATAGTAATGTCTTTTTGGGGGCATATGTTCAACAGTGGGGTTGCTGGATCATACAGTTCCATTTTTTTGGTGGGGGGAGGGAACGTCCATATTGCTTTCCACAGTGGTTGTACTAATTTACATTGCACCAACACTGTATGAGCATCCCCTTTTCTCTGCAGCCTCATGAGCATCCATTATATTTATCTTCTTAATAAAAAACATTTGTACTGAAATGATATAATAGCACACTGTGGTTTTGAATCGTGTTTCTCTGATTATTAGCAATGTTGAATTTTGTTTTTGCTTTCAAGCATTTATTTTTTTATTCAAAGTAAGAGCATTATAACTTCCTTCTAGAATCAAGCAATAAAGAAAAATTTTTCTTTCTTAAAACAGCACTTAAATTTGGCCATTTCCACTTGCCACAAACCATCTAGAATATATATAGGATATATATATATGTATATATATATCCAAAATATATATATATATTTTTATAACTCCATGATATATATATATATCATGGAGTTATAAAAATCAGAACCTTGCATGTGTGGGGATTTCCTTTTTTTTAACTTTTAAATTTCTTATTTGAAAATTGTGGGGTACAATTCAGGGTTAGGTATACAAATATTCATTATGCAGGTACCTTTGTTGACGAAGTGTGCTCCCTTCCCCAGACAGATTCCCACTATTGCCAATCCCACCTCCCTGCCCCCCCACCCCTCCGCAGTTTCCTGCTATTGTTAATTCTTTTCTTACAGTTTTATGGTAGTTGTTTAAGGTCCACTTATGAGTGAGAACATATGATACTCAGCTTTTTGTTTGTGAAAGATCACTCAGTATTATAGATTCTAAGTCCATCCAGGTTGCTGTGAAGTTCATGATTTTGTTCTTCTTTATGGCTGTGTATTCCATTATGTGTATGTACCACATTATTTTTTATCCAGTCCTCTTTTGGTTCCATGTTCTTGCTATTGTGAACAAAGCTGCGATAAACAGCTGTGCAGATATCTTTTTTATAAAGTGATTTGAGTTCTTTTGGGTATATTCCCAGTAGAGGGATTGCAGGGTCATATGGAAGGTCGAATTTTAGATCATATCATCAGCAAGGAGGGCTAACTTCCTCTTTTTCTGTTTGGACACCCTTGATTTTCTTTTCTTGTCTAATTGTTCTTGTTAGGACTTCCAATACAATGTGAAGTGGGCAGCCTTGTCTTGTTCTGGTTTTCAGGGGAAATGCTTCCAGTGGCAGTCCATTTAGCAATATGCTGGTTGAGGGTTTCTCATAGATGGTGCTTACTATTTTGAAGTATGTTCCTTCTATGCCTAGGTGTTTGAGGGTTTTTATCAAGAAGCGATGCTTGATTTTATGAAAAACCTTTTCTGCATCTAATGATATAATCATATTGTTCTTGTTTTTACATCTGTTGATGTATTTAATTACATTATCCCTGGGATGAAGCTTACTTGGTCATGGTGAATGATTTTTGAGATGTGTTTGTGGATCCAATTTGCTAGAATCTTGTTGAGGATTTTTGCATCTATATTCATCAGGAATATTAGACTAGTTTTTTTTGTTGGATCTTTACAAGGTTTGAGTTTCAGAGTGATGTTAGCTCCATAAAATGATTTGGGGGAGAATTGTTTCTCAATTACCTGGAATACTTTCAATAGGATTGTATCAGCTCCTCCTTATATATTTCATATAAGTCTACTGGAAAGATCTGGTCCAGACTTTTTTTGCAGATAGTTTTCTTATGATGGAGTTAATTTTCTTTACTGTTATTGGTTTATTTAGTGACTCAATGTCTTCTTGTTGTCTTCTAGTTTCAACCTTGGGTGGTTGTGTGATGTTAGAAAGTCCTCCATTTCACTTAGGTTATCAAGTTTGTTTCCATATAGGTGTTGTGCATATTAATCTCTGATAATCTTTTGTATTTCTTCTGGGTCAGTTGTGCTTTGATCTTTTGTGTATGTGATTGTGTCTATTTGGGCATTTTCTCTTTTTCCTGGTCATTCTGTCTAGGAATCTATCAACCTTAATTATTCTTTCAAAGAACCAGCTTTCTGTTTGGTTGATTTTTTTCTATGTTATTTTTGTCTTCTATGTCCCATATTTGGGCTTTTACATTGGTGATCTGGATGCTTCTGCTAAGGTTAGGGTTTGGTGGTGGTCTTGTCTTTCTATCTCCATTAGGTGACTTTAGACTGTTAACATTTGACCTTTCCATTTTCTTGATACGTGTTTATAGAGATATGAATTTCCATCTTAGAACTGTTTTCATGGCCTCTCAGAGGATTAGGTAAGATGTTTCTTCATTTTCACTTATTTAAAAGATAGTATCTCATGACCTATATTGTCAGAAATCTATTAGATATATTAAACATATCCTTCTTGTTATCTCACATCATCTTTCATTTATAGTTCATTTGGAATCATACATAATACAATTTTTAGCTGAACAGGAATAGTATATAAAAGTAAAATAGTGGGGAAGAAATACCACGTTAATACTAATTTTAAAAAAGCTGGAATGGTTATATTAATCAAACAAAGTAACATCAAGGCAAAGAAAGTTACCAGGGATAAAAGGGCTGTTGTATAATGCTAAAAAAGTCAATTCAACAAGAAGCTATAATTATCTTAATAACATCTAATAACAGAGCATTTAATAACAGAGTGTCAAAATACATAAAACAAAAATATGCAGAATGAATTGGACAAATACACAAATTCACGATTATAATTTTGCACTTCACAAATTTTTTCTTGTTACTTATAAAACTAGTAGACAGAAAATCATTTAGAATATGGAAAAATTTAAAACTTCCACAAATAAACTGTATCTAACTGACATTTATGAAGCA